AAACCGTAGCTGATCGTCTTCGAGATGAATATGAGGATCAGTAAGTATTCATTTCTATCTTGATTTTATATTCATCATATACAATTAACTGACATTGATTTAGAACGATATCTGAATCACATACAAAACTTTATCAACATGCAATTCAATGTCTTGCAACTATAGAAATGTTTTTGGCATGTCATCTTCGTTATTGGTGTTTTGTTCCAATGACTAAAGAACAGGCCATTATAGATGATATAAATTTAACTTCTACTGAAAGAAATCTTTTGGCCGAACATCAAATGTCTTATTCAGAATATAACACCCACGAAACAAACACAAATTCATTTCAACGAAGTGATAATAATGCAAGTTGGTGTATGAATAATATACCATCACCTCCACTCAACTATCAATTTTCATTACGACAGAAACTTGAACAATGGAATTTTTTTCAAGATCGATCAGATATATTTACATCACGATACATTAATCTATACAATCCAACAATTGTCATGGCTTGTAAGTGATCTAAATTATCTTCGAAAATTACCATTTTTATTTTAGTACCAGATAATTCGTCATATGAGATGCGTCATCTCATACAAGCTTTATTAGTGACTCATGCCGAACCTAAATTAAATAAAACTATCAATGATTCAATATTGACCTCTACTAACTCTAATAATACTTGGTATCAACATTTAATACATCCTCGTCTACGTTTATCATAACTTTAATTCTCTCACTGAAAATAATCATATCTATTCAATTCTGTTTAGGTTGTCATGTAGTTCTTCGTCTTAATTAAAAAATAAATTATTCAAAAAAATATATGTATTCTTCTCTATTTCAGATATAATCTTGATAAACAAAACTTCAAATCCTAAATATTGCAATATGAATTTTAATACTATAGATTTAAATCAAGCAGAAAAAGCAGTTGCTTCATTTACTACTGATGATAATGAACAGAAATATCAACCAAAAACATTGGTTCTACATAATGAAGCACGTCGTAATTATTTACCTTTATTTCCAACCATCTCTTTTAGTCGAAATAATCATCTACTCTTAGCTAATGTACCAGGTTCGTATTCTAACATAATATTTATCAATTGTCATCGCATCATATCGTCTAGTTACTCATATTGGACCTAGTGAAATTGTTCGACGTCAACATGGAGCAAATACTGTTGATGCTATAACACTAATGAACAATTATAAGTATTCTGATCATGATGGATTTAGTTTGTCTGAACGAGATGCTGAAGAATTATCTAAACGATTGCAAATTGGAAAATCAATTATCACATTCAATGCTACTCAAATTCGTAGTATCTGTTATTATTTTCTTGAATTATATAAATCATTTCGAAAAAATATTCTACTTCAAAATGATATTGCCTTAGAAGAATTCACACTTAATTCGAAACAAATGGTCGTGCTACTTGAATTCTATCTACAACTAGATGGTGAGACATCTTCGAATATAAACATTTAAAATATTCTTTTGATATTTTTTAGTGGATTTATTTTACATGAAAACTTGTTCGTTTCGTGGAGCTGAACCACACGCCATCACGAAAGGTCTATTCTGTGGAAATGATGAACCACATGCACGATATGCGATGTCTCCATGTGTCAATCCATTTTGTCCATGTTGTCATCCGTCAAGAATGGATGATAGAACACAAAATCAATTACGGCCAGTGGCTGATTTTGCTACAAGTTCAATGCATCAATTTCTAAATGGATATACAACATATCTTAATTGTCCAGTCGTATGTTAATATTATTAAAATATTTTTATCTTGATAATTAAATTAGTATTATTATTGAAAATTTAGACATGTAGAACATCGAATGTAATCTATACGATGACATGTCCATGTGGTCATTATGATTATGTGGATTCAACTGCAAAGACATTGGTTGATGCTATAATTTGTATGTATATATATACCTTTGTATTTTCTCTTGTTATTTTTGATTATAGATCATCGAAAACATGGTAATCGAATTATACATGAAATGTTAACTGGTATTTCTCGATCTTCACATCCATTTTACGATCGAAACTTCGATGAGTAAGCACATAAAAATAAATAATAGAAAGAATTTTCTTCGATAACTTGCTGTTCGTAATATGTTTATTCTAGAACGAAAATGGCCGATAAAATGCGTCTCTATCAACATTCGGCACGTTGTCCGACAGCACTTCATTTATTTCTCGACTGCAATCCGAGCTATTGGTGTTTTATTCCTATGCTGAAGCATGAGGCACGAGCTGAAAACATTGCTTATGTTCGACAAGCAACAGGAAGTTCCTCATCTTCCTTCCACACGACAATGGGTGCTCAATTAAGTCATTTAAGTGCGACGAGCCGCATTCATAGAAATTCTAGAGTGATTCCTTATCTTCATGATGTGCCACGATCACCGTCGACTAGCTATGAGTTTTCAGCGGAACAAAGTCAAAAACAATGTTTATTTTTCGAAGAACTTCTTTCGTTTTCTTCTGCTATTGATCATTTGCCCTATTCTACAGTGAACTTGTATAAAATAGCAATTATTGCCGTTTGTAAGTGATGATAATGATTATATTTTTCCTCTCTTTCTTTTTTTTTTTTGCATACTAATCCAGTGCCAGATGATTGTTCGATTACACTACGATACATTATCGAAACATTGTTCGTTATTCATGGTGAAACTAAATTAAATATGATTTGTCCTATTGGCGGTGATCCTGAACAACGCTATGGTCGTCCGTATGATCCTATTTGGTGTGTTAATTTGCATCAGCCATCCGTTTGTACGGTAACAACAATAACAACTACTCAACGATGATATTGTGTTAAGAGAAGTCATAAAATCAGTATTCATACATATTTATGGTTATTGTAGATTTCTTTTCTTTATATTCACACGAAAGAAAAAATTGATTTACTAAATTTTAATATAGTTATTGAAGCAAATTGGACTTCAAAACAACTACATCAATAAGATAAATCTCATCGAAATAAATACATAATTCTAACAAGAAAACATTCAATGAAGTTTAATTCAATCTTCTTCTTCTTCTTCT